ATTATTTTAATTTACCAGAAAATAATTTCAATAATTATTTTCCATATCATCAAGGATACTTAAATCAATATCCATTGGGATCATATGATACTAATCAAACTCCATCACCTATCAACCCATCATTAGCTTTTGATTATGCTTTACATGCTTCCAATGCTCAATTTCAACAAGATCCATTTCAACCATATTATAGAGATACTTATCTTTAGACAAATAACACACAAACAAACAAATTTCCTCAACATATTTATTTATCTATTTGACATTGAATAACATATATTTTATATTATTATACAACATGTCAACATTAGACAAATAAGAGAAAGAGAAAAAAGTATTGAATCATGGATTAGTAATAACTATGACGAAGAAAAATATTTCGAAATCAATATAAAAATAATATTATTTTTCATCGAATGTGTTTTCAAAAAGACAATAAATAATTAGAATTTAGTTTTGACGATATTTATTCTCTCATATTGAACATATATTTAATCAGTTAAATAAATATATAAGTAAGAATATATTTATTTTCTTATTAGATTTAAATAGATCTATATGATTTTATATTATATATTTCACTATTAGGTGAATCCATGGGGTTTCCACCACTTTCGGGAAGAAGGGTATTCTGTGCAAATGTTCTGAAAGAAAATTTTTTTTTCGATTTTAATAGTCTAGTTAGATGGAACGTCGTTGAAAACGGTCTGAGTTAATAATTAAAACCTTTTTGAACATATAAAATGTGGAGGCTCACATCATTTTTTAGGAACACTCTACATATGAAGAGTATCCCATCATAACTGATGATAAATTGTTAATCATATTTTTCATACTTTTTATTGACATCGAGAGTCGAAATTTTTATCACATATAGATCTAATCAAAATCTTTTATTTCTAAAAGTTTCGACTCTATAGCGAAAGCTAGTGATGAAATACATCAATTTTTGTAGTGATTTTTGCAATAATTTCATAGTAAAAATATATAAAAATCGGATGCGAGAAGTGATGTACTTCAGTCTTGTCGATTTATTTCGCTACTAGTTTTGGCTAGAGAGCTGAAACTTTCAGAAATAAAAGATCTTGATTAGATATATATGTGATAAAAATTTCAGCTCTCTACGTCAATAAAAAATATGAAAAATAGGATTAACAATTTATTATAGGATACTCTTTAAGTGTGTGGAGTGTTCCTAAAAAACGGCTTGGATCTCAATACTTTTCATGAGTAAAAACATATTAATTGTTACCTCAGACCGTTTTCGACGACGTTCCGTCTAACTAGCCTATTAAAATTAGAAAAAAAAATTCTCCCCGAAAGTGGTAGAAACCCCACGGATTCACCCTATTTTGAGTTAATAAACGATTTTTTTAAAAATAAAATCATTTTATTCTATATTTAGAATAAAAAGAATTTCTCTTTAAATGAAATTTATTTTTCATCGATTATTATTCGAATACATGATCGTTTATATAAAATAAATGAAAAATCGAAAAAATTTTATTATTGTCGAATAATAAACATATAAACATAGACGATTCGATACAAAGAAAGTAGATTCTATCAATCGTTGTTTAAACTAGACATTCCCTAGAATAGTCAGATTATAAGAAGATCTATTATATGATTTCTATAGGAATGACCATCTATTTCTTCATTCAAATAATAAAAAGAATTTTTTTTTCAGTGAGAAACAAAACAAGAGTTTTATCCTAAAGTCTTTTCATATTTCATAAATCAATGTTCAACATTGGTGCCATTGCTCTTTCCAGCTTCTTGTTGCTTTTTTTTAATGATCAATAAAGATTATTTTGAATATTGACCTTCAGACAAGAAAAAAAGAATCTTGTTGAATTGATTCAAAAAAAAAGGAATATAATAATAATTCGAGCATATCTACATATCGTTGTAGTTGAAGGCAGAGATGTGCGGGGCGCGTTACGTAATGCCCCGTACGAACCCGTACGCCCCGTGCTATGGGTCTGAAAATGGAAACGTAATATCTGAATTCAAATATTACGTTTCTATTTTCAGACCCATAGCACGGGGCGTACGGGTTCGTACGGAGCATTACGTAACGCGCCCCGCACATCTCTGGTTGAAGGAAGGTTTTTTTCGATTGAAAGATTGTTTATTTGACCATGAAAATAACTAGCATATCATCCAAAGTGATGGAAAAAAGTTTAGAAACAAGATTATTTCTTTCGATTCTATTCAAAAACAAATACTAAGAGAGTTTTAATGATTGATATATTTAGGTAGGGTCTATAGTCATCAAGTACATATACAAAGACTTCACATGTTCTAGTCTCTGTGTCACATATAAAACTTTATCTTTTTCCTCCAGCGGAAAAAAAGTTTAGAAACAAATAAAATATGTTCATGTTTGCCGAGTTGACGTTTGACATAACAAGCAACCATTCTATATCTAAGGATATCATGTGAAAGAGCAGAATGCATCTAACGCAATATATTAATCTACTTTCGATGATCTTCATCTTGAAGTACATAAAAGGTCTTTTCTATTGGCTATGATGAATTTTTTGTTTATCATAATGTCCGTTGATTCCAATATTTGGACTATTTATACCAGTTTTTGAAACACTATAATCAGGTTTGTCATTGAGGATCATAGAGCACAAAATTCTCTACAAAATGATGTACTTTGAAGCTATCAAACACATGAATCTAAGACGAGCCCAAGTAAATTTTCGGATACTAGTATAATTTCCCAACAATTTACGCTTGGAGTTAGCCATCTTTGCTACAGACATAGAAAAATTGAGTACACGCAGCTTAGATTCATCTGTTTAATAGCCTCAAAGTACATCATTTTGTAGAGAATTTTGTGCTCTATAAGGCTCAATGATACACTTGATTATAGTGTTCCAAAAACTGGTATAAATAGTCCAAATATTGAAACCAATGGACACTATCATAAAGAAAAAATTCATCATAGCCAATAGGAAAGAACTTTGATAAATACTCAGAATACCTCATTTGATGTAACTTTTTACGCTCTTTTCAACTATGTACTCTAGTGTTAATTTTATCTTAGAAAAATTACGACGAACCTAAGTTTTCCATGAAAACCATATAGTTAATTCTATAGGTTTCATAGTTTGGACCTATTATGTATTCTAAGATGAAGATCATCGAAAGTAGATTAATATATTGCGTTAGATACATTCTGCTCTTTCACATGATGTCCTTAGATATAGAATGGTTGCTTGTTATGTCAAACATGAACTCGGCAAACATGAACATATTTTATTCGTTTCTAAACTTTTCTCCACCACTTTATAGAGAATTACATATGTACATATCTATATCAAGCAGGGATTCGCCTCGAATCGGTTCGAACGAAAAAAAAATCATCGGATTGAATCACCTATCGACAACTCTCCCATATTCAATGAGATAATTATCAAGTATTTCATCCGATGCCATCGATCCCATAGGACTTCACACTTGTCAAATATCTTATAAAAAAAAACATTGTGAACATAGCTATTCTTTTGATGTAAATAAGCAAATTTTATATAAAATCATATTCTATTTGATTTATTTTCTGATAACTAACTTGAAATTTGTTTAATGTTATATTGAGAATGAAATAAGATATATGATACTCTCATCTTAATCAATGTAAACTAATTCGAATGTTCATTTGAATTTGATCATTACCCAGGACGAGCATTACGACAGTCGTAACCGATCGTATACGACGTCGTATCTGATCGTGTACAGTCGTATACGGCGATATACGACGTATATACGCCCACCGTAAACGACCGTACACAGTCGTATACTACGTGGATTGTCATCGTATCTTATTCAAAATTCTACTACCTACCCTACCCCCCTCCCAACTCTCCAAAGATGGAAAAATTAATCTTTGGGGTGTCCAGTCTGACTGGAACCCCCAATTCTTATTTCTCATGCAGCTTTGATAATATATCATCGTACTGTTTTGATATATCATCAAAGCTGCATGAAAAACAAGAATTGGGAGCTCCAGCCAAATTGGACATTCCCATTCCATTACATTGATACTTTATGATTTTATTTATCCTTTTAATAATCTAAAAAATAAAAAATAAATTTATTTAATCTAAAAAATAAAAGTTGAAATTTATCCAATCTAAGAATAAAATTGATTTAATCTAAATATAATAAAATAAGATTTATCTAATGTAAAAATAAAAAATAAAATTTATTTAATCTAAAAATAACAAAAATAAAATCTATCTAGTTTAAAAATAAAAAATAATATTCATCTAATCCAGAAATAAAAAAAGAAAATTCATCAAATAGTAAATTATTTATACAATCAGAATATTAGTATTAGATATAATCTAATGCATAATATACGATACTAATGCTGGAGTCAACATTAAAAAATAAATAAATTGATAAAAAAAAA